AAGGCGTACCTGCGTTCCCCCATCATGAGGACGATTATCCTCGCCACGCCCCTCCTGTGGTTCCTCCAGAGCTGCCTGTACCTCTCGGTCGCCATCAACGCCAACAACTTCAACAGGTGGGGTTGAAGAGCTTTGCAAGCCTGTGTCCGGTTTGTAGGGTTCGTATATTGCTAATACATGAAAGAAAATCTGCTTCCTCTGCTTTCTTTTGTTATACAAGTTTGTAATTAAATCCTTAAGTGTGATTTCAGTGGTTAGGCGAGGACGCGATTTTTTCGAATAATACAAGTGCTGTTATGCTGTCCCTGTAAACATGACTTATTACACTTTTGGTGTCCAATAAATAACTAGGTAAAAATAACTAAAAGTAATATATCAGTAGAGACGACTGTTTGAGATCAACGTCTCTGAGAATATAAAGATGTCCACATCCAACGACCCAACTGTAGCGCCACTATGATAATATGATGGATACCGTACTATATATTATAAAGAATGATATATTTAAACTAAATTCTACTGGCAATACAAAGTCAACATTTACGACACAGTACAACTATAATAAAACGTTCACGAAAGGGACCGAAATCCTATGACCTGTAAGGACCACAAACGAAACCGCATTAACAGCCTCAAAACCCTTCAGGGCGATCACACTCTTAATGAACTCACATTTTCAGATCAAATCTTTCAGCGACATCCACAAAATCCTAGTTAAGGCAGAGCTCAGTGTTGGCATCATATTCCAACGACTTCGAATTTACTCGTATGTCCTGTTCGAAAACTACAGTGATGTCATATTACAACGACCACTTATTCACATCTCGATCGTGTAGTCTCGAACCCTGTAACGACGTCACACTCTAAGGATCTTGTGTTTGCTATAGTAACCCTCCAGTGACGTCATATTCCAACAGCTGGAACCCTCCAATGAAGTCATGCTCTAACGACTCCATATTTACACCTCGAATCCTCTAGTGACGTCATACTTTACCATCTCGAACCATCCACTGACGTCACACTTAAACGACTTCGTATTTACACCTCGAATCCTCTAGTGACGTCATACTCTACCATCTCAAACCCTCCACTGACGTCACACTTAAACGACTTCGTATTTACACCTCGAATCCTCTAGTGACGTCATAATCTACCATCTCAAACCCTCCACTGACGTCACACTTAAACGACTTCGTATTTACACCTCGAATCCTCTAGAGACGTCATAATCTACCATCTCAAACCCTCCACTGACGTCACACTTAAACGACTTCGTATTTACACCTCGAATCCTTTAGTGACGTCATACTCTACCATCTCGAACCATCCACTGACGTCACACTTAAACGACTTCGTATTTACACCTCGAATCCTCTAGTGACGTCATACTCTACCATCTCGAACCCTCCACTGACGTCACACTTAATCGACTTCGTATTTACACCCCAAACTACCCATCCAAACGACCTCAAACGACCGCATCTTCCCTTCCAGCTCGAACCCCTTCCTGTACGTGTGTCTGAGCGGCTCAATGGACACCTCGGCCATCCTGCTCATGACGCCCCTCAGCACACGCCTTGGGAGACGCGTCATCGTGGGCGGCGGGATGTTCGCGGGTGGCGTGCTCTTCCTGCTCGAGCTCCTCGTCTCGGAAGGTGGGCGTGGGTGTTGGGGTGGTGAATGGATGCTCTCTCTCTCCCTCTCTCTCTCTCTCTCTCTCTCTCTCTCTCTCTCTCTCTCTCTCTCTCTCTCTCTCTCTCTCTCTCTCTCTCTCTCTCTCTCTCTCTCTCTTCTTTTTTCTGTTTGATTAAATGAACTTCCTGTTAAAAATGTTGCATATGTTAATGGAATTGTTGATAATAAAATCGACTTCGTAGGATTAATATTGCTTGTACAAGAACAATGGAGTATACTATCTATTTATTACGTATTCCTTTTTTTCAGATTACTTCTGGCTCAAATGGGTGCTAGTCATGGGCGGTTTCCTCTTAGTGGCGGGCTCGTTCCAGGTGAATTGAATGTCTAGAGGAATGCACGGGAGAAACCGTGTCACTATGATTATCATACGAAATGTTTTGTTTTGGGGTTCATGGTCAGAAAGGGATATGTTAGGGAACTTTATATGTCTTCAGTATCGCTACATTTGGTATTGGTATTATTATGCACACATGCATATGAAATGTTTTCTTCTACCTGTAGCATTGTCATATGACCCATATCGCCAACAGATGAACTACGTCTACGGGCCGGAGCTGTTTCCGACAGAGATTCGAAATCGAGGTTTTGCATTTGTTAATCTCATGGGTTGCCTCGGATTCGTTTGCGCCCCTTTCATCACATACAGACTGGTAAGAGGTTACTTGTATTTTCGACTACACGATTGTTGCAGGCACACATATAAATAAACAACTAAACATACAGAAGCGTTTATAGCATATGTTAATGCTATACACCCCCTAAAACTAAATAAATCCATACCACCTGGCCTAAACCCCCCTGC